ACTTTTTTTGACCATTTTGGTTTGACTTTCTAGGGCAAAAAAGAAAAGTTGCAGGACCCTTTGGGCCAAAATGGGCCTGATACGTAGGCCAGTAAAATCAATAAAAGGAATTTATGGCCCAGCCCGATAGCTCTTGTTAGAAACGGAAATAAATCATTAGGGTGAGCATTAATCGGTTCAAACCATCGAAACAAATTGAATTTAATTAATTCAAGTAATCTATTCAATTATTTTGATTGGTTTTTTGTGTCCAAAATTTAAAAAACCAATCATTACTAAAATATATATTTTTTATATATAGATATTATTAATATTTTTAAAATATATTTGAAAAATACCTTTTACAAAAATAATCAACTAGATAAGTCAATTTCAGTTGTTTTTTGCTTTTTATTATAATTCAGGTAATTTCAATTATTTTTAATGGGAATAGTTGATTTAATTTTCAAAATTTTAATTTCAAACCGATCAAACCCACCAAATGATCATCCACGTTTAAACTTTAAGAAATCCAATTTAGGTCACAACTTCTGTACTTTTAGTAAGTCTACATTAACATTGACAACAAGCCATAAAATATCTAATTTTTCTATATTTAACTAATAATAGCAATAAAAGTCCTCGACATAATTTGTAATTTTGTGGTATTTTATAATGTTTATTAAAGACTATAAACAGTGGGGGGCAAAGGGGGAAATAAAATGATACTTTAATTACCCTTGAATAATTGGGGCTATGTGCATCATCAGCAAAGTCAATGACATTTATTTGATATGATTTGTTCACAAATGAGAATGATAAGTGAGGAAGCAAGTTCCATGTATTGGACTAATGTTTACCTAATTAATATAATACCAAAAAGTAATAAATTCTTCTTTGTAACAAAAGTCTTTTGAATTAATTAAGATGATTATTGTTTTCTATATGCACCACAAATGGAGACATAAGGCTTGGGTTGGGGTTTCAAGATATGACAAAATTGTTAGATGAGGCCTTTTGGTAAGGTTTGATTCGGTTTGTACTTTGAACAATCTTGAGCTTTCTTAGTGTTAAAGGAGATAGGCTTTACTTAACAATTTGATATTGACATTGAGTTGAACTTGCTTATAGTAAGGAACTAGCGAAGGTGATTGTCAGTAAGTTTCGAGCTTAAGGTTTAGGGTTTATTAATAAGTCAAAATTTGTCATGAAATTTTTTTGATCGAAATAAGCGGAATTTTTTTATAGTGTTTTCAAGTCAAATTGTTTGAATTTAAGCAAAGAAATAAGGCTTCTTTTTGTTTTTGTTTTTAAATTTCTTTGTTAACTATTTTCCAAGAGTTTGCTATGTAAATTCAATGATTTTTTGACCAAAAATAAGTACATGACAAAATGGTTTCTTAGAAAAATAAAATTATACTTTTTATCACATCATTAAAATCATATTTTGAGTTCTTTTTTTTTTTTTTTTACATTCAAACATGTAATTTTCTTATCTCGTTGAATTCGGATGTATAATGCTACCAGTAAAAGCAATAGCCAAACGATCGGTTTTTTAATTCGAAATTCCATGTCAAATACCTTGCTAGCAACTATTATAAGTTAAAAAATCCTGTATCTAGGATGAAAAATCCATTAACATTCAATGGTTGTTGAGGGACTGAACAAACCCTTTGAACATGAATTAACAATAACGAAGGCATTAAATACTTAGATTTAGGACTTTTTACTGTCAATTGAGATTTTAAGGTTTAATAACTATTCAATATGATATTGTGTTAAGAAAGAGTGTCTCCAATGGCACGACAAGAGACTAAATTATACTATCTAGTAGGGCAACTTCAATCATATAAAAAAGAGAAGAATATATGCATAAAATATGCTAGGCAGAGTGGGAAGCTATAAGACAGATTTTGGGATTAATTAAATATTTAATTCTTTACTAACTTATTTGGGGTCCCATTGCAAATCTCAGTGATTCCTACCTTTTTGATAACATCTATATGTTTATAAATTTTTTAATCTTATCACTTCAAATTTTGTTAGTACTATTCTTTTATATGACATGGATGGCATATCCAAAAAAAACCAACAAAATGAAAAAATATAATACTTAAAAAATTCATAAAACTATTCAAGAAAAGAAATAAATTTTATTTTTTATTATATTTAGTCAAACCTTTTTATTTTTATTTTAGATTAAATAGTTGTTTATAATTAATGAATTAATTTGTCATTGGTCAAAAAGCTGCATATTATTTTATACCGCATAACGCTAATATGATGTAATGGCTCATCTGTCAAGTAATTTTCAATTAGAATTTTAAAATTTTATACTAATAAATAAAACGTATATACTATATTTTTCATTCAACAAAATGGAAAAAATAAAACTATATATTTGAATCTTATTTTTAACCAAAAAAATAAAATTTTATGTACCCCAAAAGTAGGTTGATCCTTTAGTCCAAAACATAATCATGTAACATGAAGTTAGTTATGTTTAGTATGTTGCCATGTATTATTATTCAAAGGGTGAATTTTAATAGATACAATAAGGTTATTTTATCACTTATAATACTTCGTCGTGTTTATAATAGAGATTTATCAATAACTTATGATGCATAAAATTTATTAATCATAAGTAAATTGTGTTATAATCATGAACAAAAAGATACACAAAATATACACAACCAGTATCTTTGTGTTGATAATTAAGGTCTATAATGGTATAACACTTGAAACATTGAAGCTGTCTCTTGTCATCATGACCTAATAATATATGATTCTATGTATCCAAATAGTGACAGCAAATTAGGTAAATTCTTCAGTATTATCACATGCATATTTAATTTGGTTAACAAACTCTTCACTTCTAGTTTGACCTGCAAACAATTTCTGCAGCAGCAGCCAGCTCTCTCTCTCTCTCTCTCTCTCTCGCTACCATGTCTGGTTACAATCCATCCATCCAACCCCCACAAAAGCAACAATCACCTTTTCCCAACCTGCAGTTGCGGCTATGAAGCTTCGCCTCATGTGCCAACCCCATGCTCTGATATATATATATTATCAGAAAGTTCATGAAACTGATACAGCTGCATGGCTTCAAAGTCAGGTGTCTTCTTCTCCCCTTGAATTTCCTTCTAAAATATGCTTAAACAAATGGGATTTGAATGTGTTTGTTGAGTTTGTGCTTGATGACTCGATTCCATGGACTGTCATAATCTTTCCACTTCATATCTACATATATATATATATATACACCTCTCTAGAAAGTTTGCAATCATACATTTAAAGGCCACGAATTTCATTTAACCTATCATTTTTTTTTTATTTTCACACTCAATTATTATACAATTAATTAATAATTTTTACCAAAAATAATAATAAAACCCGCATCAACTGTTACGTGGAGCATGTTTTCATATAAAATAATTTATCTAAAAAAAATGTGATTAATTGATAAAGATTGCCATCCACAAGATTATTGCGAGGACCACAGCTAGTCCATATCTAGCATACGTCTTTGCATGTTTTATATAAACCCTAAAATATATGAACCATGTGCGTATATTTGAGAGCAAAATCTAAAAAAAGAAAAAGGTATTTAACTAATTAAAGTTTCGTTCGATAAATTAATATATTACAAACATATAATTATTATATAATTTCATAATGTTTTAGGTAGTTTACCAAATTCGAGGACTATTTCCGTCAAGGTTACGCCGGCACAAGTATTGTATGTATAATTATTTTGTAATTTACTATAATGGGTATTAATTTTAATTCTTCAACTGCTGAAATTGGAATTTTCTCTATACCATAATAGGTATTATTCATATACGATAATAGCGTAAGCATTATACTCTTTGAAGGTGCATTTCTAAACCTTGTATATATATATATATACAACCTATGAATATTCTCCAGCCACCAAACATGTAAGGACATGATGTTTAGGGTATAGTTTTCAATATTAAATTCAATGATATGGTATTTCTTTTCTTAGTGAAATTATATGGCATTCTAAAGTTGAATAAAATTGAAAATCATATAGAGTTACAGGTCATTTTCATGAATAATGCAATTAATATATAAGTATATATACATACATATATATATATGATATTAATTAAATATTTTATAATAGACAGAAGCAAAATAAAATTTTGTTTTAATTAAATGACATGGAAAACTACAAAAGGATGAAATTCAATTTTGTTATGTGTCACAACTTTGTAATTTTTCCAAAATTTTCCGAATCCGACATATATATAATTATTTATCAAGACAAATAAATTATTTGAGATTAGGTGTGAAGAATAAAAGAATGATATTCATAGGGCACATCATATACAGAAGTTGATACTGTTTAGGTAGGGTACCCATTATTAAAAGCAATATACAAGTATATATAGGATGTTTATTCAAGGTCATGAAATAATTAAGAGGTTTAAGCCAAGATTAGTAATTCCCTTACCATAATAAATATATAAAATAATTTTAAGCACTTTAAAACCTCGGTTTATACCCTCATAAAATTCTTCGGGCCATTGCTTACGTAATTTCGATGGAAAAAAGGGTTTTATGCCTAATTAAAAATAAATTAATAGACCCTAATTGGGTTCAAGTAGATTAATAGAACCTAATTGGGGTTCTAGTCATTCTCTTGAACATCATTTTCCGTGTTCTAGAAACTGCTTGGAGTAGAAATGAAGGCAATTTAGTAATGGAGTGAGAAGGTTTAGCAAGCAAATGAGGTAGTGTATATGTATGTGGTTAGCTAACAATTTCTTTTTCATCCTCAAAGCCACTTTTTTGAAAACTCTATGAGATCATGGGGAAGCTTTGCAACACTTAAATAGTCATATTTGCCCTTCCTAAGTCCAAGAAGCAAAGAGATATGCATGTGTTGGGATTAAAATATATCCTTCCACCTATACTTACTCACAAATAATTAAAGTTTTAATGTAATTCTTTGACATAAGACTTTTAATCGTAAAGACTCTCTTAGATTTAAACAACTAAATAGATAGAGTATTTCTCGTAACAAGATCGTAAAAAATTTCTTACGTGCATAGGGTTTATTCGGTTGATGTCTTGTTTTTTCCGAAAAATAACAAAAAGAAAAGTATTCATCTAACGAAACTTAATTATTTACTGAAAAACTCATTTTGATCTTTAAGGTTTGGATCAAAAACTTTTAGTTAAATATAAAATTCGAGTGAATAACACGGGTTGGAAATTAAAAATTAACTAAAATTCTCTAACCCGAACTCGAGAAAATTACGATTATTTCAAAAGGTGAGAATTGTCAAATCAAAAAAAGAAAAGAAAAGAGGGTATTGGTTTGTATCCTTTGTTAAAATTTTGTAATGGGGTTGTTGAAACCTTCATCACAATGGCTGCGAAAAACAAACCTAGTGCAAATCTTACTTGATGGGGATTAAATAATGTTTGACCAAAGCTTTGTCCTTTTTTATTGAATAATATTGTGGGGGGACCTTGCTGTTCTCTTTTTGTTTAATCTTAGCCTTATCTGATTAGAAATTACATGCTCTAAAATTTGGACCACAAAACCATTGAAATTTGCCTCATGTTTGTGACAAAGTTTCACGTTTACTTAACCCTATTTCCAACTTGTGTCCAAATAGGATTACCGAAGCCAAGAAGCTTAGCCAAATACATGCCCAAGCCATGGCTTTGTCTATCCTCTTCATGCTTTGGTATAAGTGTTATTATATAAATATATGTGTATATATATATACACATATATATATGAAAAGTAGTCGAAAATTTTATTAATTAATGATTTTTATTGTTATCATACATATAAAGGTTAATTAGGGATTTGGTTATGTAACGAAAGGTAACACGAGTTTTACTTTTAATTTTTAACCATAACAGTCAAATTTGAAAACCCATTTTTTTAGTTTACAAGTTTGATATAATTCAAATATATGCATACACATTTATAGACATATAAAAATTTTCTCCTTCTTGTTTCCTTTTTCTATATATAAATATATCTGGCTTTCAATTATGTTATAATAATTGGAAAATAACAATATTTCATCTTATATTATAAAATTTCATCCTTTTCTTACTATTTGAATGTAAAACGTAAATGAAAAATTTGACATTGTAATCATATTTAAATTTACGTGTTTTATTGGAAATTATTTATCGTCCTCCTCTAACTAAAGAAAAACTAAAAATCTAGTAGCATTTGGTTTATTGGTAGCTAACCCCTTCTACTAAATACTTGTGCTTGAAAACCAATAAATTTATTTATGTAAAATTGAAAGATAGAAAGAAATTCAAGTCAATATTATTGGCATTTTAACAAAATACAATTCTATTGCTTTCCTGTCACTGCTTATTAGATTTGATGTAAGGGCTGACCAAGTACAGGAGCCAGTAATGGAACTTAATTTGGGGAGGTAATTGGCTTGTAATTAATGATGAGTTGATAATTGAAAATGATGAGTTCCCAAGTTCTTGTCAGTTGTCACCTCCCCTTTCAAATCTCAAGAAGGAAAAGAATGGAGAATTGCTCCTTCTCACTTCCTTTTTCTCTTTTCACATCTATGTCTTCCAAGTCTCCTATTCTTGTCACCTCATTTTTGACTTGGAAACCCATTTTTGTTTCAAGCTCAAAATTGGAAGTTATACTCACAATAAATTCAATGAACTTAGCATCTAAAAGGACTAGCATCATATGCCATTGAAAGTTATGGTCATTCAATTCTCAGAAGTTACCATCTATTCCCTTCTTCATAGCTATACTTATCAGTCCCCATCCCTTGGATTCCACCAGACCATAAATGAAATCTAGCTGTTTATGAATGTATAAAGTGGTATGATTAAATAATTATGTATTCATAAATTTAAAGTTTGTTCATGTTGTCAGAGTTGAAAGTAAGAGAAAAGAGAAAATATATTATTATTATGTAATTATTTATATTTAAATGATTCTTCCCCATATGCAATGCGTCGAAATAAAATAAATTTTATACTCACAATTATTAGTTGTCACATGTGGAAAAAAAGATCTAAGGTATTAATTGAGAGCAGTGTGGGGGGGTTCTGAAAGTGGATCATGCTTACTGTTTGAACAAGAGGGTGCAAGCTGGGAGCAAGAGTCGTATGATGGGCACATGACTTATGGTGGCTACATGACCCCAAGTTACTTCAAATTCCCCAGTGTAATATTCAAACTTGTGCCCCAAACTTCTTTTGACAACAACTCCAAGCACTGGAAAAAATTCCACACAGCTCATTAATTGCATATACAAAAATTTGGGTGGGACCTAACTGTCAAGAACAATTTCAATCCACATAGCCTGGACATGATGGCAGTTCCTGTGGGCATCAGATCAGTATGAAACAAACAGCAGCAGTCCACATTTCTTCCGTCAAACTAATACACCAAGGGCATTTATATACATAGCATACCTTTCTCCAAGAAATGATACTGTGGATTTAACCCTTTTACAGAGCCTGCTTTCTCCTTTTTGCTGTTCTTGGTGAGAGTTCATGCACTTTGCTTCTAATTTGCTACATAAAGTAGAAGCAGGCACAGGAGACATTGTACCTTGAAATAAGAATGGTCAAACAGCAGAAAGAATTGCCGTTGTTCCTGTTGTTAATTCTCAGTCAAACTCAAGCTGGATGTCTTTGCCAATCAAAAACTATGAATGGGATTGGGATTTGAAGATTAAATCACTTTAGAAGTAAGATGGGAGTGCCCAAATTAAAGCATTAGTCCAAACTTTGGTCAAAATCAGTCCCATCAAATGAAGCAGTTATACATAAAAGAGCTTTTTTAATTCCCTGGAAACTGTTTAAAGCCAAATTGTTCATGGAAATTGTTCATAGTGAGTATCAAAACTTTCTGTTTGAATTCAATCTATCATTTCCCTAACTGATTTATTCTCTTTTCTAAATCATGATAGCAAAGTAGAACTACAAACCCATTCTTGTCTCACTAAAACCTTTGACCCTCATTCATGGAAATTTGACCTGATTAATTATGATTATAATCTTAATGCTTAACAAAAGTTAAGAGAATTAATATATCATAAGGAAGAAACACTAAACTAAGGAAATGATCTATTTTATAGGTAGATATCATAAGAGAATTACGGTTTGATATTATCGTAACTACAATCGACTTAGTGATTTAAGTATCTTAAATTTCAAATAATTGTTTAGAGATGACGATTGGTCATATAAAGAATCTACATTTCATTTTCAATAACAGTATGACAATATTTAGTTAGGCACTCAATCGATTGGTACAAGTGAAGTTAGAATGTCCCATCTCCATTAGTCCTATATGTTACCAAAAGAGAAAATAGGATGGAAAGATGAGCTAGCCGGCTTAAGTGAATGAACCTCAACTGAGCTTATAGAGTCATGCCATGGGTGATGAGGTCCTTTGCTCATCCATCCCCCTCCTATCACGTGGCAGGGAAATGTTGGAGACAGCTATAATACTTGACTAAAAGGAAATAAGTTTTTCATTAGTCAAATGGAGGGAAAATTTATTTATTGTTTGCAACATGTGTCAACCTGTTTTAGGAATTAGAGACAAACAGGGGTCTTGACCAAAAACATAGAAGAGCCCAAAAATGTACTGTTCACCAATTTAATCATTGTAAAAAGCAAAATCTTGAATTTCCCACCAATGGGTACTTGCCACGTCGGACAATATAATTTCCAAACTACCCTTTAATTTGTGTCAAAAGTTTGTTCTTACCCTGCACACAATGAACTAAGAAGATGACTGTCTTAATGTTTTTGTGTGCCATGTTTTTTTCTTCACAGGAAGACACGTTTCAATTGGCCGGTACCGAATCCCATTGACTTTGCTTTGCTTTTCTTTTTCTTTCTTCTATTTATATATACTCTCCCTCTTCCATGCATTTCATGACTTTGCCCTTCCAAACGTTTGCTTCCAAACTTGAATCGGCTTCTTCTTTATATTCTTTGGGTTTGTAGTAAGGGTCTCTTATCTTTGGCAATGGGGAAACCTCCATGTTGTGACAAAAATGGATTGAAAAAGGGTCCATGGACTGCCGAGGAAGATCAAAAATTGATCGATTATATTCAAAAACATGGGCATGGGAGATGGCGTACCCTTCCCAAGAATGCAGGTACATCGAATTCGAAACTCGTATACCCTTAGTTTGTAACGTTAATATACTTAAACTGTCGAGTTAAATGTTCGAATTTAGTTCTTCTGCGCCATGTTAGTATATTAAGAAATGGGTTTAATAATTGCTTTGTGTTGATTTATATAGGGCTAAAGAGGTGTGGGAAGAGTTGCAGGCTCCGATGGACGAATTACTTGAGGCCTGATATCAAGAGAGGGAAGTTCTCAATTGAAGAAGAGGAAACTATAATACAATTACATAGTGTTTTAGGGAACAAGTGAGTGTCTCTCTTGTTATATGATCAACTGATTGGTAGTATGTCTTAGCCTGTTTCCCTTCTGTTTCAAATTTTATATTAAGAATAGTTAACTTAACTACCTACTTCTTATGGACCGATAGAGCAAAAGTCAAAGGTGTATTATTCGTTCAAAAGAAAAATAATGTACTTTCTTTAATCTTTTTGGGGAAACCACAGAATCAAACATGTCTTGTTTACTGTCTGATTTACTCTTTCTTTGTTTCACTCTTGACTTAGGTGGTCTGCTATTGCTGCTCGATTGCCTGGGAGGACTGATAATGAGATCAAAAACTATTGGAACACCCACATCAAGAAGAAGCTATTGAGAATGGGGATTGATCCTGTCACTCATAGTCCCCGTCTGGATCTTCTTGAACTCTCCTCACTTCTCAGCTCATCTCTCTACAATTCTTCTCAGCTTAATCCAGCAGGTTTGCTTGGGTTTGGATCGATGTTCAATCCGAGCTTCCTCAACTTTGCCACAGCTCTACTGTCATCCCAAAACAAGACCCTGGAAATCAGTCCTGAAAATATTGAACAAAACCAGACAGGGAATTTCCAATGTCAGAACCAATATGAAACCTACCAGGCAAACCAGGTTCAGAATCCTATTCAAGGTTACACAACATCACAAGCCAATTTGAACCATTTGTCCACAAACCCCAACAACAATCTAAGCTGCCAAATGTCTCTACCAAATCTGTGGCAAGAATATGATAGAGAGAATATTAGTATTAGCACACCAAAGGGTTTCTTCCCCGTGCAAAACTATGGCTACCATGATTCTATCAATCAATCCATCATCAACTCTTTAGCAGAAAACCAGGCATGTTTTTCTGATCAGAACAATATCCCAAATTTGAGCCCTTTCGGATCACTCTTGTCCACACCTTCTTCCAACTCAACTCCCTTGAATTCATCATCCACGACATACGTCAACAACAATGGTAGCAGTACCGAAGATATTGAAAGAGACAGTTACTGCAGCAACATGTTGATGTTTGATGTCCCTAATGCATTAAATGTCAATGGATGTGTGTAATATTGAAACAATTTGCTGTCAAAAAACCCAAAGTTAGATTTAAAGTCTTTCTAATTGTTCAGATTTTGACTAGGGGATTGCATTTTGTACCAATCTATGTGAATCTTTTATATATTATCTTTGTAGAAGATTTTTCCTTTTCATTGTTGTTGAATATAATTAGCATGCTTTTCTCTTTTCTTTTGTTTTTTTTTGTCAGTTAATTGCTTCATATTCGTCAGGCCTATTATAAGGTTGAAGTTATGTAGTTCAAGTTGACATTTCTGCAAAAAGCTTCTTTTAAAAACAAAGCTAGCTAGGGAAAAATATCCTTTTCAATGGCTAAGGAATAAGCAAGTTGGCTATGGAATTGCTGGGGTTTGAACACAGCATTATTTGCTGTTAGGTGTGCATCATTTCATAGGGCTAAATCACTAAGAAGAAACAATTCTATGTATATATGCATATAGACAAATCCGCATATTTATTCACTTCGAAAATTAATGCGTCACTTCGAAAATTAATGCGTCATTCTAAATCTTACTTAATTGATAGAAGACTTTTCATAATATAAAAATTTGGTTCAAGAGAGACAAACCCATACACTTATAAAAAACGATTAAAACTCAAAAAACTGTCCACGATTTTGCTCAAAATCCTATCTAATTGCCTCAAAAAAAAAAATCGCAGCTTATTGGCTTTAAAACAAAAACTTGGTTTTTATTTATTTTTCTAGTTATGTTTTATGCAAGAAATTAAAATAAAATAACTATTAATTATATTGTTGAATGAGCATTTTTCTATCATTTACGAATTCAAAAGTTTATCTTCTTTTCTCTTCCAACTTTTTTCTTTAACTACTAAATGAGAGAATAACATTTCCCAACTACATACTATTGATTCATTGAATAAAAGAACAAATTTCCCCTCTATGGTGTTGTTTGATAAACAATTTAAGAAAATTTTCAATGATTTAACTTTTTCAAAATTTGTCCGAAGACTCATTCTAAAGATTTCTTAAGAAAAAATTTCCAAATAAAAAAAATGTTGAAAACATTAAGTACAGCAAAAAACTACTTAATTTGGTAGAAATTTGTTATATATTATGTAAAAATGATTTGAACTTATCTCGATTTTAATATTTTTAATGAAAGAATTTCACATCAGTAAAAAATTAGCTAAATTGTAATATTATTTTCTCATACTTATAATTTCTTTTTTCACCTTATTTTTTCCTTTCCGACCACAAATTATTATATGGTAGAAATTTTTTTTTCCCTTGGGTAATTCCATATTTACAAAAGACAGAAATACTCAAATTGGACTTGATTTACCAAAAACAAATTTGGGAAATGGGAAATAGGGATTTGCTTCCCTAATACCTTGACCTGACTAACACGTGTCAACACTCCAAAAAGCATAATTTTTTCAAGATTTTGCGCGTGAGAAACAGCCTAAATTAAATAAACACGTGGCATCCCGTTGGAAACTCCAAGTAATCAGGCGGAAAATGATTGTCTGTTGTCGGGTTCTCCTGAAACCAGTCAAACCGTTGAATCGACAGTCCAAGTTAAAACGTGAACGCAACTTCAATACTTATCACTTCCTTTTCTTTTTTTTTCACTTTTTGATCAACATTTCCTTAAAATAGAAAATAAAATAAAATAACCCCTTAATTTGTAAGTTTTATACAAAATAATTCTTTCTACAAAACATTTTTCATAAAATTCTTATAAATCGAACACTATAATATTATCTCTTTAATAATCACATTTACAGTGATCACCATCCGACATCTAAAGCATTAAAGAAAGATTTGGGGGAAAAAAGAACATTATTGACATTTTATTTCTCCTCATTTCTTTATTGTACATCCCACAATGTTTTTGTCTTACATTGGAAACCATGATTTATGAGCAAATTAACAAGAGCAAACCATAAGGTCAGCCAGTAAAACTGTAATAAAAGATGGTAAAAATCAAAAGAGGGTTGAAACCAAAGATGGAAGACAGTAATTATCTCATGAGTGTAACAGGTAAAGTGTGTATATCCTTTTGGCTACTGCTATCAAAACTTTTAAGCATAAGGAGATGTAACTGACTCTTTTAAGGTGCCACAAGTCCTTCAATGGTGTAATATAGAGATTCAGCCCAGTCAGCTTTAAATAGCAATGTCTGCAAAGTGCGCATCACATCCAGTTGAGGATCAAGCTTCCGCTGCCATCCCTGTGTTAGAAAACCAAAATTTGTGTCTTAAGTTTACCAGTCTTAACAAGAAGATGTTTAAGTGATCAGTGCATGTAAACATTCATTTGACAAGATGAAAATTTTGGTGAGGGTTTTCGAGAAAGTCTCAGGCGCCATGATTATCAACAGAGTATTTTCATGCTGGCTACAAGGTTTTTGTTGAGATGTTCAAGAAGACAAAAGTCCAACGTATTTTTTCTCATTGTGATGAAAAGAGAAAAGTAAGAAAGGTAGCTTCAATAAAGCCAATTTTATCCTAAACTAGGTTATGCAATAGAAAAGACAATGACCCTCCACATATGACATGCCCACCCTGCCTAAATTCAAATGCAGAGCTGTCCAACTTTTGACCTGAATCCATTTTTCTCCAGAATACAAAGCACTACAGCTATTAAGCCAAGCATGCACGCATTCTGAAATAGTTCTCTTTAAGATTGAGAACATCACAAATGGCACTCATGGAATCCATAGTGCCAGAAATCCAGGTTTTGGACCCCAATCACTCGCAGCATGATGAAGAAGGGCTGCAAGTTGCACGTTTTTCTTGAAGTTGTTCTTTCTCAAAAATGGCTGAGAGACATGACATGTTTAAGGAACAAAGAAATGACAGCACATGGCAATTCCATATGTGCCAGTAGAGATTCGCCTAATGAGCGTGAGAAAGAAAAGAGCTGCATTTTAGGAAATAAAAAAATCTACAAGGTTCAGGGTATTTTCTGAAGTTCTTTCTCAAAAATCACTGTGATGTGACATGTTAAGGAATAAAGGAGTGCCAGCACATTCCATGTGTATTATTAGATTGCATCAGCTGTCCCACCCAAAAATGAAGAAAAAGAATTCAATAACTTTCTTAGGGAGCGAAGACTATGATAAGTAGCAGGAAAAGACTACATTACCTCAAGAACCAAGGTGGTAACTATTACTGTGCAAACATTGCCATCGATGTTGACTTTATGACGTCTAACATGCTCAAGTAGTTGCTGTATGCACTCCCCTGGATGGAGAAACACACCATCTGGGGAATCCCAGAGATTGAAAGACTTTTCAACATCCTGTTCAATAAAATATAAATCTTAAAAAATATTAACAGATGTGACTATAACTGTAGAATAAATCATCCTATAAAACATAAACAATTACTTCAGGATTGAAAGAAGCAAAATCTTGAGTGGACCTTAAATCAATCGATTATTAGGTTGATTCTCAATAACATTAAGCTTGGATTTTATTTCTTTTGGGGCCAAATGCAGATAAAGGCCTAGCATTTAAGCTTAGATCTTTAAGAACACTTTCCTAACCTAAATCCATTTTGCATTCCAATTATCGATAGCAAGTCTCCACAGCAATTAGACAACAAAGTTTTAAGTGTCAAGGATAGAAATAAAATGCATGGCCTATGAGAAGGCACTCCATTATTAGAAGAAGGAACTTCATTATGGGTATGTCTGCTGCAAAGTCAAATGCAAGGAAAGTGCAAATAGCAAAGATAGCTGATGAGGCTATGAGGTTTCAAACAATGTCTGATAACCCAATGCAATTTGAAAACATTGATGTATGCTTAAAACAAAACATGGTAAAAACATGTAAAATGTTACAATTTCTTGGATAAATAAACTCTTAAATTGACAGACCAATAAGCATTCATGCTGGCATACAAGATCAGTATGTTACACCCACCAGAAAGAGCTTTCTAGCAAATGCATTACCTCTATAAAAGCCTTTGGATTGGGGCAATTTTGCTCTTTAGATAATCTAAGTGTGCACACTGCAGCACTGCGACCATCTCGAAGAGCGACAGCCTTAAAAAACTCCAGTAAATTCATTCGATCTGTCTTAGAAAGTTCAGCTGTCATACCCACATCAAGTAAGATAACATGGGGCCTTGAACTGAAGAGTTGTTTATGTGATGGGTTGATATCTTTCACACGGACAAGAATATTTCCAGGATGCATGTCGGCATGAACAAAATTATCTACCTGCAGAGAAAAAGAACCCCATAAGTTCGAATCCAATCTCTAACATTTTAGCGTGACTTATGCATACACTTTCCAGACACATCACAATCTTAGACCAGTACAGGACTACAGTGGCAGAAGAACTGTATGAACAATCTAATACAATGCAACTCAGCATTTATAATCACCACTATAAGAAGAAATGTAAAGAAGAAAAGATGGAAAGAATGAACAAGAGAACATGAGACATTATACCAAAAGCATTTTTAAAAGTGCATGCGTCCCAATGTGAGCAAGGGCACTCTTAATCCGTTCATGTCCTTCAAGCTCATCAACATAGTGCAAAACACTTTCTCCATGTTCAAAAGTTTCTACCAGAACAGCAGGGTGTACCAAGGGGTATAGAGGCTTTGGAAATGAGACATCCTTCCATCTGCGGAAATTGTAGATGAAACGGCTTAGATGCGCAGCTTCCCTTGCAAGATCAACTTGAGACATCATGTAAACAGCAAATTGTTGTAGACTTTCATCCAATCTCAACCATTTCAAAGTAGGGATGAACCTTGAAATTTTAGCTACAGAATTAATGATCATAAAGTCCCTTCTAATTGCTTCACCAACCCCTGGATGCCGAACCTTTACAGCAACAACAATGGGCTTGGTTTGCTGACCAGGGTACCGATACTTTAAAGTTGCTCGATGAACTTGAGCAACACTTCCAGATGCCAAAGGTTCCTCTTCAAAATCTGCGAAGATTTCCGTCAACTTTCGACCGAATGCATTTTCAACAGATTTCTTTGTGAAAGCGAAACTATGTGATGGAGCTTTTGTGTGAAGTTCAGCAAGTACAGCACAAAGATCTTTGGGAAACAAATCCGGTCTAGCTGCAGCCCATTGACCCCATTTTATAAACGCTGGGCCTGCTTTTTCCAGTGTATGGTGGACTATACGAAGCCACATTTTCCTGAATTCAAGACCCAGAAAATCCACAAACGGAG